CATGTGGTGCTGGGGGATTGAACCGCGGTCCCTGATGCCTTGCGTAGCTTGTTCTAAGTAGGTGCTTTAGACCACTGAGCCATCTCTCCAGCCCCTCCTTTGCCACCCTTGACTGCCTTTGTCTTCTGTCTGTGTTACTGGCTTCTACAATCCCTCCCTTTTTTTTTTCCCTCTGTTTCTTTCACCTGTCCCCTCTCCCTCCCTTTCCCTTCCTTTTCTCTTTTTGTTGGTCTTTTTCTTTCAAAGAGAATATAAAATAATGACAATAGAAAAACATTAGAATGATAATTTCACTGAAGAAAATAATACAAATTTGACAAGCCCTGTCTCTGTCTCTGTCTCTGTCTCTGTCTCTGTCTGTGTCTGTGTCTCTGTCTACCACCAACCTAGAGAGTAGCTGCCGGAGATGCTGCTAGGTATCCATAACACGGGGGCAACCTCCCGCCTCAAAGAGCTAAGTAGCCTAAAGTATCCATAGTGTTGGAGTTGAGACCCTTAGTTTTAAAAGAACAGCAAGAGACACTTTCTGTCATGATGTCTAGCATGTACAGAGGGAGACGGGTGATAAGCAGCCTACGTCAGGCATAAAGAAATCACATGGTGTCAGAAAGTACTGTGCTGAAAAAGCATGGAAAGGTTCAGTGGAGCAGGAGAACTGCTGCTCAGCACTGTAGGCTGTGAGCGTGGTAGGATGGGCTGCGATTGTAGCCGCCTTGGGAGGTGAATCACGGAAGGGAAGGTTGCCTTGGGAGGTTCGCTTCATGACCTGGAGACGACCAGTCCTTGGGGCCCCCTCCGTGGTGCAGAGCATTGTGCTGCTTTTCTTCAAGAATCATCCTCACATTAAAAAAATGAATAAAATCCCTCGGCACCAAGGGACATCTTAACCTCCAAATAAAAATAGAGCATACTGCCATGGGCTAGAGATAATAATTACTTTCCGCCCCCTTTCAGGAGGGTTGAAATTCTCCTCTTTCTTGACGCGTCAGGGCTCTATCATCGCTAATGCAGGACAGTGTTAATTTGATTCAGTTTTTATTGCTCACTGTCAACTTCTCACTTTCCTCTTGCAGCAAAAATAGTGCGACTTCAGCCCTTCTCAACAGCATTGTGGGTTTTGTACGTTGTGCAGAGATCTGTCTGTCTGTCTAGGTTGATTTCTCAAGTCCAACAGAAGCAATTGCAGATTTTAATATCCTGGGGATGCTGGAGTAGTTGAAGCTGGTAAAATCCAGGCCAGTATAGATCTACACATGCATAGATATGTAAGTCCACACATACATATGTATTGGGATGCATAGATATACATTTACAATGCTACTAAAAATTACCAAAATTGTTGTCTTGATACCTTTATAGATGTATACTTATCTTGGTCTTTTTGCTTGCCACTATTTTTTTTAAACAAGCAACATAGTCAGACACTCAGTAAGTAAAATAAATTAATATCCTAACCCAGATGCTGTTATTTTAATTACTCAAAAACTTCCCCTTTGGGTTGTTTTGTGTCCTTTTATGACTGTCTCACCATGCACTCTCCATTCATTCTCTCTCCTGCATCAGCTCATGCACAATATTCAACACCAGAAGAGCAAGGGACATGTTATGGTTGTGTCCAGGTGTCCCCCAAAGCCTCATGCCATCATGGGGAGGCTTCTAGAGTCTGTGATTACTTCATGACCCAATGCTGGGGTTATGTGTGTGAATGCTACACCCACTCTGGGATGGGCAGCCTGCATATCATACAAGGGAGGGAAAGAGTCTTGCCCTTTCTTCTCCCCTTTTGCTTTTCTTGTTTTCTGCCACCATGAACCGTTGCCATGTACCACCCTGCTTTGGAGTATGGACTGAAACGTCCACAAACTGTGAGCCAAATAAACCTTTCCTGCCTTTATTTTGGGCATTAAATATTTTGTCCCAACAGTGAGAGGAAAGTAACCAAGACAATAGTCAGCAACACGAGAGGCCCCCAAGACAGAGAGCACCGCTGATGGACCTCTGAGGCATTGTGCTGAGTCACAGAGCCTGACTCGGGAAGCTCCATATTGTGTGCTTCTACTTATCTGACTTCTGAAAGAAGCAAGATGACAGAGATGAGGTCAGAAAAGCGTTGCTAGGGACCAGAGGTTAGGGGAGAAGTCAATATAAAGAGGCATGACAGATGCAATGGGACTGCTGCTTACCCCAGTTCTTTAGCAAGCACTGGTGGCACCTGGTAGGTGCTCAACAAACATTTTGGCAAATGAATAAATGAATCATAAAAATCAGCTTTCATGACTGAATTCCACCTTAGAATGAACTTATCCACGTCCCTGAAACATAATTTGGGAAATATAGTGGTATGTTCTTATGGTGTTATCATTGTAATACACTCATTCATTTCTTTCTTTTTTTTTTTGACTGAACCAGGGATTGAACTCAGGCTCTTGCGCTTACCAGGGAAGCGCTTATTCCACTGAGCCATCTCCCCGGCCCTACACGCATTCATTTCTAAATCTGCTTTTGACTAATTTATTTATTTTATTTTATTTTATTTTTTTTGCAGTGGATTGGGTTTGACCCATAGGAATTGTGAAGCCAGGAAGCATAAAATTTTTAGCAGTTAATACCGTTCTCATATGCCTTAAACTTAGGCAAGGGAATAGTTTTCAAAGAATGTTCTTGACTTAAATACATTGAAGGGAGTTCTGCTTCAAGGTTCCACAAGGGGCCTGGTGCAGGGCCTGGGGTCTGGCTGGAGAGCGGTCTTGGGCACGGCAAGCAGGTGGAAGTTCCCACACTGGATATAAATGAAGGTCCATGAAAAAAATATATATATCTGTATATACAAAATAGCATAGATATACAGCTACTTTCTCTTAATTCAATGAAAAGAAAGTTTTGAACTAATAGTGTTTAGACAAGATATCATGTCTATGCCTTGTACTATGAATAGCTACTACGAAGACAACAATATGCAATGTATTTATTATTATAACTATCCTACTAACCTGTTTTGAAACTGTCTCATTGCTATTTCTTGCTCAATAAAATTAATGTAAAAACTTAAATACATTGACGGTAATAATGTTGAAGGTATAATGCACAGAGTAACATTGTACTTTGGGTATCATTTTATTCTCCCTGAGAGTTTATTGACCAGTTCATGGAATGTGTGTTCCCTTTTTGTTTTTTCCAGTGCTATTTCTTCACAATCGAGTTTGGCCTTTGTAAGCAAGAAGGGCAGCTACGGGCCTATGGAGCAGGACTCCTTTCTTCCATTGGAGAATTAAAGGTATGAAGCTGTGAATGAGAATATCCTTCCTGAGCAAGCTGGTTCAAGGTCATAGAAAATATTGATTTCTTGGTCCAGGCATTTCTTCTCACACATGCCCCATCCATATTTCATAGGGAGGACTTGGCACCTCAGATGTGGGTGCTGACCTAACTTTTTGCACTTCTGAAAACGGGTCGTGCCTTTCTGGGTTTGTGGTGTGACTCAAATGCATGAGCAGCCATGGGCACAAATCCCTAAGAATGACAAATATTGGCTCTGCATTGGGTAACAAATGCATGGCCTACATTTAGTGCTCAACAGGAGGCAAGAAGCCAGCGGTAATCCTACTGCTTTGAGCTTGTTTGTGAGGATGGTGCAGATACTCTTGATTTCTGTCCCCCTTCCTAGCTCCCCCTGATTTCCCTGCAACTGCTTCCTGAAGGGGAGCTTTAGGTTGCTTCAGCTTCTTTGAAATTGATGCATATTTAGCCCAATGGGGAACATACAAACTTTGGAAAGCCAGCTAAATAAGTATATTATCAAAGAGGAATCAAAGAGGTCATACTTAGAGAATGCTATTTCTTTGCTTTAAAGTATAATAAAATGACTAATTATTCAGACATGGTAGGGCCTGGCACTTTTAATAGTTATAATATTCTGGCAATTTAAGAATTGCTATCTATGCACCACTTGGGAATGACACATTCTTGATGGATTTAGAATGCAATGTGAGAATCAATCTGGAAATGACGCTGAAAATAATTCAATCTTTTTGATTAGTTAGAGTATGATCAGGATTATAGACTTTTCTAGGGTTTTTATTTTGGGCCTTGATTATCCTTATGTAATATAGTTGGTAAGCACATTGTTATTGGAATGTGCTCATTGTTTTTATTCTTGAAGGATGCAGTTTTACTGAAATTCTATTGCTTGTTTTATGACTCTGTTTATTCACTGGGCCAGTCCTCAAAAGTTTGAGTGCTTAGAATGTGGCACACGTGGTGCCTGACACAGGATGAAGAGAGAACAGAGAACGAACAGGAATAAAAATAAAATAACAAAGCAGTCTTAGTAAGCTCTTAGATGGACCTTAGAATTTTTGGTGCTTTGGACATGCAAGCCTATTTAATCTTCACCTCAACTCCATGATGTAAGTGGTATTATTCTCATAGAAAAGAAAACAGAGGCATACATATGTTAAGGGACTTGTCCAAAGACATCCAGCTAATAAATCTTGGAGCTGGGCCCGAATCTGGGCAGTTTAGTTCCTAGAACCTGAGCTTTTAACCACTAGGCTATACAGCCTCAGATCCTTGTTATCCAGGACTTGATAACTTACTCACGAGATGAACACCTAACCAGCTTGCAGGAAAAATGTGACAAATGTGCCTGGTGTGGGTTAGGCCATCACTCATCTTTCTGATGAGGACCCTGCTGCTTAGGCTGAGTCCTAGGGGACAAGAAGGATGAGAAAAGAAGGACTAGGATGCCTAGATCAGTGCACAGCGCCATGTGCCACCTGGACTCTGATCAAAGCCTGGTCCAGTCAGGGAAAGCGACGAGGCTTGGGGTGGCTGGAATGGGGAACAAGGGTCAACAACAGAAACTGGATGTAGGGCCAGTCAAATAGCTCAGCTGATTCAAGCGCTTGTTTAGGCAGATGTGTTGGCTGGGGTTGATTCCCCATCCCCTACTCAGTGCTGGCCCCGCCCTCTAGCATGCTGAGACAGCAATTGAGACTGGGTGTGGTGGCGCATGCCTGTAGTCCCAGAGTTTGAGAGGCTGAAAACAGGTGGATATCTATGAGTGCAATCTACATAGTGAAACCCTGTAGACACTGTAGAAAAAAAAAAAAAGAAAGAGGAAAAAAAAAAAGAAATAGGATGTAATGTGGAGCATTAAAAAAATAAATTTTCAGCACAAAATGCACTTTCTCCCTAAAGCCCATAGTAATAGCATGACGTCATAGCCGCATATGACCACGCACTCTGTAGAGTGCTTCTTGATTTCCCTGAAAGGGCTTAGTTAGAAAGCAATGTATGTAGCTCTTGAGATACATCTATTTGCGTTCTCCTCAGGTGGCTTATACATTATACCAGAAACAAAAGAAACAGATCTCTCTCATGGCCCCCAACTTTCGACAGGGTCTTCTGGCTTGGTTAACGAGGCATGTGCAGGAAGCACTGGGGCAAATCTGTTGTTTCTGCGCCTATTGCTATAGACAGAATTATCTAGAAATGGAAATCAGCCAGAAATATGTACACCGAGGGGCACTGTCTGCGGTGCGTCTCTGGTTCTGCTCCATCACCTCCCGTCATTAGCATTCTTCCACTCTCAAATTCCAGCTCTCCAGCATCCCATGATTGCTCCTTTGGACCATTTTATTGAGTGAGAAACTTGTTCTATGAGAAATACCTTCTGATTGTTTGTAGAGAATACACCACATGAGATGTTTACATAGTGCCACCCTCTGCCCCTTGCCTGCCCGGAGCCCACTCACAGCTCTTCTGAAGTAGCTTCTAACTTTTACTTGAACGAATAAGTGGTGGCTCTGAATGGGATAACTAACAACATGATCACAATTCCTTTGTAAACATCTTTGTAATATTGAATGTGGTTATCTTGCATAGTAAAATACTTTATGTTCCATCAGCTGCCGTTCAGACAGAGGTCCCAGCTAAGCTGCTGCAGGTTTTGGTATGGCCTTCACCACTTTTATAGAAGTATCCATGATTCATCTTCTCTCCTGTTATGCAGCACATTCTAAAATTTGTGGTGTAAGAAGTTAAATTTTTCAGAAGCGTAGATGCTGCTCTACAGGGTGCACCATGTGCTTCCAAGGGGGGGTTTTGGAGGGTAACTTTTGTATTCACTTATTATTTTTTTTTGATAATGCTTGTTTCCATCTTTGAATACAGAAAAAATTAAATATGGAAACCCTTATTAAAGTTAGCATATGTTTGATAATCATAAAGACTATATTTTCTCCCACCCTCTCCAATGGTCTCTTTTTCTTTTGTTTTCACACCTCTTACCACCAAGAGAACAGTTAATCGGAAAGTATATTGTCTGGAGAACTGATGTCGAAAGCATTGAAAACAGGATAATTGATGACCATATACCCACAGTCTAGCATGTTTCTTTTATTTCACAGCTTGAGTCGCTCTACCCTACAGTTGTTCTAACCATGCAAATCTATCAATTATTCATCTGCATTTTCTCGATCGTCCATTGATTTTGTTCAGCAAACACAAAATACATGGCCCAAGATTTCTTTTTCTTTTTTTTCTTTTTTTTGCAGAACCAGGGATTGAACTCAGGCCCTTGTGCTTGCCAGGGAAGCGCTTATTCCACTGAGCCATCTCCCCGGCCCCTAAGCCATCTCCCCAGCCCCCCAAGATTTCAAGGAACATGGAGTCCAGTTCTAAGAAAGGAATTTATATGGAACTTTTCTGAATCCAATTCTTTTATAGAAGCAACAGTGAAATCTGTTCTTATAAGATGGCAAGGAAATGATTTCTAATCAATGAATTATCAGTGTTAAGTTTTTATCCCATTCAAAAGCAGAAAGCAATTTCTGCTTCTTTTTCAGGGATGAAGTAAAGTCTAGTTCTTTATTTCTGTCAAGCCAGGCATTAGGTATTTTTTTTTTTTTTAATGTAAGTGGTCTTAGCAGTAGTTGCTGGAATATTTATATACATATATCTGTTTGGCTTTGTAGATTTTGACAAAGCTGGCACATTAAACAAATTTAATGATTATTTTTTGCCTTTAGTTTGAGGATGCCCTTGCACAATGAATTTATTATGTTGCCCTTATATAGCTACTAATCAGCATTCTCAGAACAGCTTTCTATTTATTACAGTCATTTGTATTTACTGCCCTTCCGGTGATGCTCGGGGGTGGTCAGAATTACTGCCCGGCAGTGTAGAGGAGCCTCAAGAGGCTTGCAGTTTCTCTGAGGTCATCTAGTAGGTCAGCAGCGCTGCTCAACTTAGGGACGAATTGCTTCTGGCCTCCCACACATTTGCTCAGAGAGCTGAGACCTCTCTCTTGCGATTCCCTTTTACAAAGCCAGCACTGCCAGTAATGACAGAGCAAGTGTTGGAGGATTGGGGGCTGGAATGTGTTGTCAGCCTGGAAAAGGCATTTCTTGAAGAGGGATGTGTGCTCGCTATGCAGCCTATTCAAACTGGTCAGAACTTGGCATCGCTGATTGAAAAATAAGTGTGATGCTTCAGTGCCCAATTTGGCAGTAGGAATAGTGATGTGATACAGGTTGGGCGGTGAGAGAAGTTTAAAAAGCCCTACACACACACAGACACACACACAGACACAGACACACAGACACACAGACACACACACAGACACACACAGACACACAGACACACACACACACACACACACACACACACACACACACACACAGGTAAAGCATGCAATGCACAGGCCGAGGCATAAATTTGCTGTTTCGATGTGGGAAGAGATGAGCGCAGTGTGAGTGTAGGAGTGTTTGCAAATTCTTATTTGGAATCTAGGGCCCAAACTACCTAGAGACCTGACTTCACACTTGAGTTTTATTTTCCAATGTTAACCAGTCCTGATATAGACAGTGAGGATCACAGGGTTTACATCCAGAATAGTTGGGATGATAACTGTGTCATCGCAAAGGCAGGTGTTTGGGAGGCGAGGAACTGTCAAGCTGATGAGCCAGGGTAGGAAGTACTGCAGTCTGGTACCTGGAAGGCTTAGAGCTGAGGTTTGAGACTCCTGTGACCAAAGGCCTGCATACGTGCTAAAATATGTGGCTGGACACCCATGAGCACTAAACTTCCTCTCTGAATTGAATTAAGAAAAACTAAATCTGACGATAACTTCCCGGGCTGGGCACCTGGCACATACTAATTAATTTAATCCTTACTGCAATCATCAGCTATAGATGACATTAATTTTTTCAGGTTCTGGGTAAATGCTGGGATAGGCTTGTAGAGGCCAAGTGATTGGCCCAAAGCCACAGAGTGAGAAAGGGCTGGAGCCAGATTTAAGTCCCCATTCTGTATCTTAAAGATATGTAGTAGTCTCAATCACCTTGTAGCACTGTCTACTCACAGTTGGCTTCTGGGAAATTTTTGAGGCTGCGAAGAGATATATTTAATGGCTAGAATGGGAAGTGAGTTTTAATTTGTGCACTAATGCAGTCAGTTTGTCATGGCCTCCTGAGGGGACAAGGTCAGCAAGGCCAACCTCAGAACTGGGGACAAAGGCTACAGTCAGTTTATCATAGTTGATGTGGGGTGTGTGTGGGGGATCAGTGCTGGGTACTTACAGGCTTTATTAATATTGTGCTATAAGAAAAGCCTTAGAATTCATGTAGACCAATACGTAAAGCTTATCAAAGAGGCAACTGCAGCTCAATCTGAGGTAGTTTCATCTATCTGATGTCACATATCTGGCCTCTGGCTCAACACTGAGTCTGGATCTCCTGGTTCCGTTCCTGAGCTCTTTCTTTAGCACTGGGGTAAGTCTAAGCTGGAGTGTTCAGATAGGAGATGGTGGATTTTGGGCAACTCTGGATGTTTGGAATGGCTCTAAAGTAAAACACTGCCAGCCAGATCCTGCCAGCATTGTAAAACTTCTCTACTGGAAGTTGGAGTAGTTTTTGCGGACTGTAAGATTTCAGATGGCTAGCATTTCAGGAAGGATTCTTAGGAGTCGCACCAAGGATACAAAGTAGTTTGGGTCAGTGTTTATAGATAATTCAGTCAAAATCTAGAGGAGAAGCCACCACAGGGTGGTCCCCAAATGGAGATCACTTTCAGATACACATGAGGAGGATTCAAGAAACAAACCCAGAGTGTCTTCACTGGGCTTTGGAACTTGAGAGATGGATACTATTTTGTACCCAATGGGCCATGTGTGCTATGAGAGGTAGGAGACCTTGTGGGCCACACGGATATTCCTGGTAGTTGTCACACAAGTCAGCTCATCATCAGGTAAAAGAGGCCGTTTATAGGTGTAGGGACCCCCATTTGTTGGGTAACCCCCATTTATTGGCTTCCCCTCTATCCTGGCCTCTTGTTCTCCAGGCTGGTCCATGGTACCATTAGTGACCTGTACTCATTAACAGACAAGGAGTCGTGTTGCCTCCCTACTCTGTGGGTGGAACAGTCCCCAGCAGGTACCCGGCACATCATACAACAGGCTCCTGAGAATAAGCTGCCGATGTGAGTGCTTTAAACAATCAACTTCCAGTTTTTCCTTTGGATAGTACATTAGGTAAATGTGATTTCTATTAACCTAATGGTGCTTGCCTCAAAGTATATGCTGTGAAATCAGTGATTTTTCTTGAAGTCTTGAAGTCCATGACCTCTGGGCATTTTATTGGTCTGCTCTAATCCCCTTTGCCTGCTAAATGACTAAATGCAGTCATTTGTGTTTCCAGTGGACTTGTCACATGATGATTTCAGCTTCTGTAATTGCACTCACACATTCTGGAGACATCAGGTAGTGGCTGCCGAGGTTGCTAATGTCGTGTAAAAGCACTGGAGACCCACGCGGATGAGTGTTGTTTCTTTCCTGTGAGTGTCCTTGACTGGGTGAAAAGTCTTTGGCTTAGCAAGGATGCCCCAGAGGAACCAGGGCTCACATGTTCTTGCAGTGAGCTCGGCTGCAACTCTGTGTTCCTGAATGCGGGGCTGAGGGAGTGGAACAACGGAGGACACAGCGTAGCCAGCCAGTGCCCTCCCCTCCACGTGAACTGGGGCAATTAGAAGCACACAGTATAGTTCAATGTAACAACATGCATAGCTACAAAGAAAGCAACTTTTAATTCTGAAAACTTCAGTGAGCCAATAAGATGCGCTGCAGGCTGTCAGTGCTTTGTGAAGGAGCACTACCTCCCATCCCAGGGTATCTTTTTGAAACTTTGAAGTTGTTTTTGCAATGTAGACAGAATTACTGGTGGGGAGGAACCAAAATGCCCTGTTGTTTGCTGTATTGCATTGAATCCAGCACAAATGCATTTGTAGGTGTAGCAGACTTCTTTATAATAAAATTGTTCTCCAAAAATAAGAATGAGCTCTCTCTGGGAGGGCTTCCAGATTCTGTGATACACGTATACTGTGATCTGGACAATGGAAGTTTGTGTGAAAGCACACCATGCATGGGGCAGGGCCAAGTACCCCTTGTTTTGCACGTCAGTCTTTGGCTCTCCAGTGCCCCAGCTGCACTTTCAAATGTAGCAATGAAGGCCCCTTCAACCCTTCTTCATGCAGAGATGTAAACCATTCCATGCATTGTGAAACTTGTGAGAAAGTACTAAGAATATTTTTTTTCTATTTCTTTTTTTAAAATTAATTTTACTGAGAAACAAATAGCAATGAGACAGTTTCAAAACAGGTTAGTAGGACAGTTACAATAATTAATACATTGTATATTGTTGTCTTCATAGTAGGTATTCATAGTACAAGATGCAGACATGATGTCCTGTCCAAACACTATTAGTACAAATCATTCTTCTCATTGAATTAAGAGAAAGTAGCTGTATATCTATCCTATTTTGTATATAGAGATGCAAAATGGTCCTTCATTTATATCCTTTTTTTTTTTTTTTGTTTTGTACTAAGAATATTGATTATCAGAGGTTTGCCAGAAAACTTTCCAGGCTATCTAAGGTGTTAGAGACCAACAGACCAGAGAAATGTTTTGAGTGAAATCCAGAGCCTGGGTAGAGAGTCTCTGGAGTCATCCAGTCCAAACCTCTTGTCTCAGTTATTCTTCTGTCATTGCTGGGACAAATACCTCACACGTAAAATGAAAGAAGGAAAGGTTTATTTAGCTCACAGTTACTGGAGGTTTCAGTCCATACTCAGCTGGCTCCAAGGCAGAGCGGCACATGGCAGATGGTGGCCGTAAAAAGCAGAGAGCAAAATGGAGAGGTAGCAGCAACAATGGCAACACAGAGCAAGTCTGTCTGTCTGTCTGTCTGTCTGTCTGTCTGTCTGTCTGTCTCTCTTATGTTACATTCAGGCTACCTGCCCCAGGTTGGGTGTAGCACTCACACCCATAATCCCAGAAGTACTCAGACCCATCACCCCAGCCTTGGATCATGAATTAATCACAAACTGTAGAACTGCACTTCAGTGACTGCATGAGGGCTTGGGAGGACAAATATGCACAAACAATAGCACCTCTCCTGTATGGCTGAGGGCATGGGGGCCTCGAAGAGCAGACCATTCTCCAGGCTCACCCAGCTGGACAGTAGCGACACTGTCTACGTGTCCTAACCCTTAGCTCAAGACAGATGCAGCTGCCCCTTTTCTCTCTTCCAAATAATATATCTCTTACATTAAGAACAGAATCCACAGGGGTGTTTCTCAAAATATAGTTCATAAAAAATATAGTTCATAGGCCCTGCATCAGATACAACTTGACTGCTTTTAAAAATGCAGACCCGTGGGATTTATCTAGATCTACTGAGTAAAACTGAGGCCTGGATATTTGCACTTCTATAAACTCGATAGTTCTTTCAGATAGCATATTTTAGACCCATTTATCTAGGGTCTATACGTAGGCTGGTAGCACGTGGCACCAAGCAAGTACTAACTTTTACCATCACTGAACGTATCTTGAAGACAGCGTCGCCGTTCCTGATTCCTTGCTGTTCTTAGTGTCTGTCACTCATATAGGGAGCTGAGCAGAGTTAATTATGACTCAGGGAGTAATTACACTGGTTTTCCTGTTTTTCTAATGCCTGCTTTGGGTATAACTATTAATATTAGCTCTTTTTTTCTCCTCCCAACTGGGAATATTTATCCACTGTATATCGCTCTGCTGTACTCTGTGCAAGGTAAATGAATGCTTTGCAAACATCTTCAAATATACATGCCTGCTCCACACTCTGTGGATTTGCAGTCCCTGGCCTCAGATGTCTTGCGGTGAATTCACAAATAGTTCAGTGAGAGCCCCAATTACCTCTCTACGCAGGTAATTATTACTTCAGTCATTTAAATGAAATTTCAGTGGATTGCTTATAGCAATAAATTTAGGAATATATTTATGTGGTCCCTGCTTGTATTCATAGGCAGAGACTTAAAATTCCATTTCTGCTGGGGTATAACTCTGAACTGACCTTCAGTATGAATTTGGCTGATAATAAATAAAGTAACACTATAATCTTATTTTCCCCTCGGCAGTTAACAGATATCAAAAAGCAGCACAAACATACAAAATCCTCTACCAGTCCATTTGTGCAGTGCATGGAGGAGCTCTCTGGTAGCTGAGCAGCTGGGATTACTGAGCTCTCATGCGCATTGGAGAAACGTGATGTCATAGCGCTTTGGGAGTCTCATTACGGAGTTTAACAGGCTTTGTGGTATATTTTGCAGCATGCACTTTCTGACAAAGCATGTGTGAAAGCCTTTGACCCGAAGACAACCTGCTTACAGGAATGTCTTATCACCACCTTCCAGGAAGCCTACTTTGTTTCAGAAAGTTTTGAAGAAGCCAAAGAAAAGATGAGGTAAACTTGCTTTTATCCATCTATAGAAAATAACTTCTTACTTTCCGAATGCTATTTCCTTCCTTCCATTTCTTGTACCAGTGGGGGCTGATCGGATATCCTGTTTCTGTTCACTCTGCAGAGATTTTGCGAAGTCAATCACCCGTCCCTTCTCAGTCTACTTCAATCCCTACACACAGAGCATTGAAATCTTGAAAGACACCAGAAGTATTGAAAACGTGGTGCAGGACCTCCGTAGTGATCTGAACACAGTGTGTGATGCCTTAAACAAAATGAACCAGTATCTGGGGATTTGATGCCTGGAACCAGCATTGTTGCCTGTGTGGTCTTTTGGGGCTCAGCAGCACTTTCACCAATGTGATGTGACACCAGTAACTTTCTGTGTCATGGCTTGGCTAGTAAGCATGCACCTCTGTATATCTGTACCTACTTGTGACTTTCTGTGTTAATGTATGGAATGCCATTAGGAAACCAAGGGCAGATAATTCCTCATTGTTTGAAAGATTATAATACGTTTAAATGTTTAAGCCTATTTGACATTGCTGCTTAGTGTCCTTACTTGAACTGTTTTCTTAAAATTTGTAACAAGTAGCATGCTTATGATTCAAGCCTGTGACCTTTTGTTCTTCGGAACTTAGCTTTTCCTTTGTGTCTGTTAGATAAAATGAAAACGCAGGGCAGCAGTTTCTAGTTTCAATAGTGCCAGTATTTTCACCACATGATTTGAGATAGAGCCAGAGTTGTAGGATACTTTCTATCACAATAGTAATTGATTCAGTATTCTAATTCAAAAACTTGAGGCAACAGTATTAGGTATGCTCTTGGATGAGTATTTATACAATGCAAGAGAAAATTTTCTGAACATTTTACAAACAGGGTAGGTAGGTTGCATTGACCTTGTGAAAAATGAGCTGTGGTGAGCTTCTTCAAGTCCTTTGGAAGCCAATACTTGTACTGAGATTATTAGGAAAGACCAGACAGTGGGGAATAAGTTTTGTGACTAGGAATTTAATGCCAGAATAAAGTGAATTATAATCTCAGGTGTTTGACTCATTTCTTTGGTCAGAGGATAATACGGTCATGAGGCTACAGTGATACTCTTTGATTCTAAAAAAATGTGGAAGTTGAGTCATGAAGTTAAGTGACTTCTCCAAAAGTAGCACAATTAGTTATGCACCAACATTCTCAGCCCATTGCGTTTTCATGCTAGACGGCTGAGCTGTTCCACATATGTATAGTAAGAGAAAGGAAACTAATGCCTGTCAAAACTAATGTTTATCACCAAACAGAAATGGGCATGTGATCTAAAGTTGCCAACAGTATATATATTACTTTCCCTCACACCCCTAAACCAGACCAGATTTTTTGGAAGTTATATTGCTTTCTCAAATTTGGGCAAATATTTGTGATGTACCATGGATTTTTTGGTAATCCTTGCCATAAGAGGTAAAAACTGGGCATCTGAATACAGACGTAACTGCTGAATGAATGAATGAGTAAATTTCGTCTTCTGTGTCCCTCACCAAGTACAACTTCTGTTTCCCTGATTCTGGTTTTGGTAGATAGTACAGGGTGTTCCTTGGGAGGAGGAGGAGGGGACAGGAAGAAATAAAGAAGAAAAAGATACCAAAGTGATTTTATGTTAGCAATTCCACAATACTCGCTTGAGCAAATTCCAAGGAAATTTTCTTAATAAGAAACGATGTAAAATTTCCAACTATTCATATTCTTCCATGGGGATCATTATGGAACAGAGATCTTTGGTCAGAAGAGGTCAAGGGAAAATAGAAGTTCAGAGGTTTGGAAACTGGTTACTTAACTGTTCACTGAGACTCGTTTTCTGAAACACTCTCATGACTGAGTCCTGGAGAGGGCGTGTAGTGGATGACATGTGTCCTGAAATTTAAACGCTAGTCTAGGTGAAGGGCAGGGTGCCTTGGAAAATCCCCAGTGACAGAAATGCCAAGCAGGCCAAGTCAAATTAAAGAGATTTAGAATGATCAAGCAGTTGCACATTTTAATAGTTTTGGAGAACTATCACTATGTAGTTTCTTATATCTTGCTTTCCTAGATCTACATGACACTGAATATTTACTTATAAGTAATAATTCAGAATAATACTTGAGAATAATAAATCTTCAAATTTTCAGATCAAGTTGCTGAATTTTCTTGGAGAATAAAATTAGCTAAGAAATCTTCAATATGGCCTTCTCTATACTTCCTATAATTTGTGTTGCTTTTAATACATGTCCTGAAGAGAATTTGATCTCTTTTTAAAAATTTACTAAAACAATCATAAGCAGCTAGTGAGCTTTTTCCCTTGTAGCTCCATGAAAAGATAACTTCTTAGGCAAATACACTTGAGGGAGAATTATGTTTAATTGTACACAAATCTCCTAGACAAAAATAACATTTGAGATGTCTTATGGTTGGCTTATTGTGAAATCTTCAGGCTTCTTACATGTGTAGAAAAAAAAATCTATCTTGTTTCGAAAACAGAAGAGCTCCAAAGGAGACAGGCTTTCCCATAGAGCTTAGATAGGTACCATACAACGAAGAGGAATTACTTGATTCTTTTTAGATCTGTTCTTCATTTAAAACAGCAGTAACTGTGGTTCTCACCCTGTGAAACAATGCAGTCGTGGTTTTCATTTGTGAGCATTGAACATGCAAGTGCCATTAGAGCTAATGGTGGGAAAAATCCTATAAAATTTAATAGCCATCATAGGAAAAGTATTGGCAGAAAAAGTCCTCCAACGATAATAGTGCGACAAAATGATCACAGTCCGCTTCTTGTCATAACTGATACCTGCTCCGTGCAACCGTTTGTCTCAATTATGCCTCATGATTTAAAGCTAAATTAACTTGATCGAGGGAGCAGTTGTAAGTTTAAAGACACTTGCTTGCTGCATCTCATCGTGAGTTTTTGCTCTGTTCTGGCTTTACTGCTGGCCTCTATAATCAGGTAATCCGAGGCCAATACAGAGTTCCTAGCAAAGCCAAGTTTCTTATACATCACATTTTGCAAAACATAGATAAAAATGTGATTAGTCCAGGTTCGTATTTGAAGCCTTTGCTGTATCTTATGAGTTAGGGTCAAGTATCTAGTCTGTTCTTCAAAGACTAGAATGATATAATAAAAGCATAGTAGTTTGTAAATTATACATTTTAAATGTGGGGAATTTTGACCCAAGTTTCATTTTTAACACATTATTGGTAGGATTCATCCTACCAGTGACTTGGGTTTCTGGTTTAGTCCCATTTATTTATTGTGTCCTTAGAAATTATAACTTCCTAAGGATATGTCTGTGTTTGTCTTGCTTGCACTTAGTAAATGGGCCTGAGACTAATGAATGCAAAACATCACAACATTTACTGACATCAAGAGTCTAAAATGAGAAACACTGTGCTTTAAAGTGGAAGCAAACAGAATTCAAAGTTTCATTTTCCAGTGGCGTCATGGCTCACATCACCTCATTTTCTTCCTGCGAGCAGGAAAACATTAACACTAGACGCGGTTGTCCTCCAATTCATTTGATCTAATTTCCAACTTCTAAGGAATTGAGCACAGAAGCTTATTCTCATGAACCTTGTCTTACTTATAATGAAGAAGAAAACAGCCTAGAATTTTTTTTTTTTAATTATTTTTTTTTCTTTCTGGTGTGCCTGAGTTTTGTTTTGCTTTTTCTTCTCTAATTTGCAAAGTTGTTATTTCATCGTGGAACACAATTCCTGTGCAGCATGTCATAGCTTCAGAGAGTGAAGGGACTTCCCAGTGGGTACTGCTGCCTCTAGTATTAGATTTGCATATTTCAAAATAAAGGCATGTTGGAACGTGACATGGTGATTTTTAAGCATGGGATTGGGACTGCAAACCGCTTATTCAGTGTAGAGCATTGCCTGGCCTTGTTCCAGAACTTGCGACTGTAGTGGTGGCTAAGAGAGAAAGTTTATGCCCACCTTGAATTTGCACTCTAGGGGAGGAGAAACGGGCCAAAGGATATCTGAGATAATGATAAGTTTTTTCAATTAATTAATTATTTAAACAATACAGAAGAGTAATAAAAAGCAGCATGAGAAATGATACATAATTTCACTAAACACAGCAGCAGAAATTGAACAACGGTTGCTGTACTGAATGATGTTATCTTCAAATTAGTTGTTTAAGTTACCGGACATAAACGTGCAAGATAGTTTAAAAAACAAAACAAAATAACAAAATGACAAGAATAAAAAAAAAATTAAGTATCAAATGATTCTTCTTTTGAAAGACCAGCAGAAATTAGCAGTACAATTATCCAAATTATCCTGCCTATAGGCATAAATATCATTTCCTCTTTTTTCTTTTTTTTCCCTCTTTTTTCTTTTGATGATGACATTTTTAAAGAAGAAATAATTTCACGTGTGGGCTGGGGAGATAGCTCCATAGTTTAAGCACATACCTGGCAAGTGCAAGGACCCCGGTTCGATGCACAGTACCACATGACTGGCCCACATGACTGCCCTGTGCTGGCCCCCGCGAAACCCAGCATGGTGGTGCACACCTGTAGTCCCAGCACTGGGGAGGCTGAGACAGGAGGATCACTATGAACCTGAGATGTGTAGAGAGAACCTGTATAAAAAAAACAAATATGGGGCTGGAGAGATGGCTCAGTGGTCTAAAGCACCTACTTGGAACAAGCTTGGCAAAGCACAGGGACCGCAGTTCGATCCCCCAGCACCACATGCCAGCCAGCCACGCCCCCTGGTGGGCTGAGCTGGCCACACACACACAATAAATGTTAAAACAAAAACAAAAACAAAAACAAAAACAAAAAAAAAAGATTTTAAATAATTAAAAAAAAGTCATGTGAAGAGGGTAAATTCAGGTGGCTGGATGGCTTTTCTTAGATGGTATTTGACCAACAGCCAGGGCATGAGAAGAATCCAGGCAAGAAGACGGCTGTGAAAAGAGCATTACTGGAAAAGGCAACAGCAAGACCAGAAAGGCCTTAGGTGGGGATGTGTGATCTATGTCTGAGGAAGCCGTAGATCCTTGGCGGGCTTGAGTGGAAAGAGGCTGAATAGTGTGGGAAGCAAGGTGCGACACACAGGCTCCATAAGAGGCCAAGTTGATCCAAAGGCCATGGACAGTCACAAGGAGGTCTCTAAGGGAAGGGGTAGTAGAACCTGATGTACATTTTCAAGGGCCTAGTGAGGCTACTGGATGAGAATGCATTGTAAGGGGAGGTGTGGGTATCTGGGACCCTGGCTAAAAATCCAAGCAGTTCAACTAATTAGGAGGCCATTGCTGTATGAGGGATCTGCAACATCAGTGTCTGGTTGGCCATGTGGACATTATTAAAAATCAGTTAAACAAATTATAAACTTAAGTGAATGGATATGAACCATACGACAAAAGACTAAGGGAGATGGTGGTCACTGGAACCTGGGTTGATGTTCATTTGACTGAAAAAGCAGTCAGCCAGTGAGATACTGTGTCTTTTGCAAATATTTAAAGCTTCTTTGACAAATAGAATCAGGTTAAACTTTCCCTGGCTAGCTCTTAAGGAAGAAAAGCTAGACTGGAGAGCAAATACAATTTGTTTTTCCTTGCAATTCTCAAATATTATATAGGAACAAAAATGAAGTAGAAATGGGACATTATTGGTGAATGTTGGTAGTGCTGACATATAGGGTAATTCAGGAAAAACATTCCCCTCATCTCCTGGCAAATTAAATAGTATTCAACATCCACCGTGCCATTTCTGTAGGAATAGACCACAGGAACGTGAAGGAATTCACTTTATTTCCAGTCATCTTGCTGCCTCCCGTCTCCCCAGTGCATCTTTCTGTTATCCTAGAAAAAGCTCACTCGCTGTGATTCCTTCCTTTCACCAAGAAGGATGGGTCCAGGGCAGCATCTGGAAGCGCATTTCCCACTTTGGTGAGATTGCAGTGAGCCTGATGTTCA